CCCCCCCCCCCCCCCCCCCACCTCCCACCTTCATTCCCCTCCCCCTCCCCGCTCCCCCCCGTCCTCTCCAACCCTTGTGCTCCTCCTCTCACCCGTCTCATGTCTTGCATGGGCATGCTGTACTGGTCTTCCACAGCAGCCGCCCTCTTCTGCGCGGCTGTCTCATCCTTCGCCCTCACCTCGCTGCGCGATCTCTCATCCGACCGAGCAGCATCCTATCGACTCCAACGTGAGACTGCTGAGGAGGGTACGAGTACGAGCAGGGCAGGGAGGAGGACAAGCAAGAGGAAGGGAGATAAGGAGGAGGAGCTTACCCGTGTACTCTTGATTTCTTGCAGGATGTTCTTCATAAAGCCGAATTTGTCCATCGCATGCAACCCTGACCCATCTTGAGTTGACTCTTCCTCTTTCCCTCTTTCTCGAGTCGTCCCCTTTCGCTCCCCCCAGCCCCCCCACCCCGCTCCTCCTCTCCTCACCCATAGTCTTCGGAAGATGATACAACTGAGACTCTCGGGCATGTGAAGAGAGTTTTGACGACTTTCTCGGGCTGGCACGATGCTTCTTGGCCTCTCCGAGAGACTGAGAAGCGAAGATCACATTGCGAAGTGCGAGAAAGGTAGACAGGCAGAGCGCGAGGGAGAGGAAGAAAGGGAGAGAGGAGAGGGAGAGAGGAGAGAGGAGAGGGGGTGGGAGAGAGGAGAGGGGGTGGGAGAGAGGAGAGGGAGAGAGAGAAGGGAGAGGGAGAGGGAGAGGGAGAGAGGAGAGGGAGAGCGAAGAGGGAGAGAGGAGGGAGGAGAAGAAGAGAAGGAGGGAGAGAGGAGTAGACAGGTGACAATGCTGAGTCTGCTGACCTTCATGAGATCAACAGCCTTGGAAGGAAGGCGAGGGATCTCTCCTTTGATCTTCGGGTGGCCGTGCCTCCCAGCTGGCTTCACCTCCGCAGCCTCAGCTCGTCTTCGCATGGCCTGGAGGTCCATTACGTCCTGCCTGCCCATCTTGTCCTCCATGGTCCTGGAGAGAGCCATGGACTCCCCCCGAGAGCTCTGCGCGCCCATGGCTCTCATCTCTGTCTTGAGAAGATCATCCAGCATGTGGTGGCTGCTCGGCTCCAAGATGCCGGCGAGCTTCTTCTGCTTCAACGCCGATCGCTGGGCCCTCCTGCTTCTCTCCAAGCTCTCCAGGGTGTTGGCTACATCTCCTTTCTTGATGTCTTGCACGTATGAGCGTACATAGTTCATGCCCTTCATGGCATCTCTCTTGCTCTTGTGGATGAAGCTGTCCATGAACGCGTCGTCCCCCTGCGAGACGAGCTCTACCCGTCCTTGCTCCATCCTCGTCCCGTAGCCGGCCAACGTCACCACACAGACCAGCATGGCAGTGAGGACGGACGCAGGGACCAACTTCTGCATCGCTCTCTGCATGTGCTGCAGCCTCTTCCTACCTTCTCCTGCTCCTCCTGCCCTTCGTCTGCTGGAGAGCAGCGGTATCTGCATGGTGACTCTTGGGCTGGGTCAGGACCCTACCAGCTATGTACCACCCACCCACCATGAAATTATTATGTAACTAAACGTTTCAACAAATTGACTGATAATTCAGGCTTCCCGGCCGGCGACTCCGTGACCGTACTGTTCACTCTCACTGCGGCGAGGCTTCCGGCCCCCCAGACCGACAGGCTCTGGGCGGCGGGCCGCCACTGAAATGGCGATCATGATACTGAGCGACTATGGCCATGTCATGAGTGAAACTTGAGTGGCACTTGCCAGTGCAGTGCGCGGCCAGTCAGTACCGTCGTGACACCGTCACTGTGACCTCGTGTCGGGCCGTCCGACGGCCGGGCACTGTCACGGCACGGTCGGAGTCCGGTCGGGCATCGGACGGTCGGCCTCGGACCGTACCGGCGTGACCGTTGCCGGCCGGCCGGCACCGCGGCACGGTGTCACTCACGGTGCCGTCACGGCGGGGGCCAGTGCGGCGGCGTACTAGTCGGACGCGGCGGAAGCCTGACGGAGCGGCCGCTGACGGACTCTCCGAGAGCTTTCCGACTGTCCGACTCAGTCGTTTCAACTCAGTGTAGGGAGGGTCAAAATTTCAACGCCGGGGGTCGCTGAAATTGGCTGGGGAAAAGCCGAAGACCCTTCTTTTTTCAAAAAAAATCACGACTCGAATAAAATAATTTTATGCCGTCAGCTACTAGTAGTAGTGACCGCGCCTTTACCGTACCGAGACCTGAAAAAAGAATGAAAACCGAAACTGCTACCGGTGCCCGCGACCTTCTGACTCGGAGGACCCGAGAGGTACCTTACCCACACAACCCACGCTCCTCCTGCTGAGTTGCGCATAGCCTCTGGCAAAGGACGCTGAGCATCCCGAGATATGAACAAAACCAACAAGTCAGCCTCATGGAGACAGTACCATGAAGCTGCGTCCGTCATTGCCGACGCATTCCAATCGGATCCTCTTTTCATAAAAGCATTCGCCAATGATCGTGCGCGGTATGTTGCAACATATGCTATTGCAGCAGCACAAATTGGCAGCGGCAGTTGTTCTATTGATGTCTTGATGGATGAGAACACAAAGGTATTGGAGAGTGCATGCTTATGGGAAGAAACCAAGCAAGACTATACACTGGGAGTCCTTGAATTGATCATTAGGAATGTGATCATGGCATTCTCCACATATTTTTACTTCGTCAAGGGTGCGACCTACAAGTTTGGATACAGTGAGTATATCGGAGGTTTGCTCAATGCAGTTCTCGTAATTTTGTACGGAGTATGCACTTTATGGGTGATTAGGTTTCTTCTGGAGTTCTTTCGTTTTGGTATCGTGTATGGATATATCACTGCCAGGGGTAGCAGATACATTTCAGAATATGAAAAGGTACATGGCAAGCTTGGCAAGCATAGCAAGCATTTGAGCATGATTGGAACACTGTCGGCATTCAGAGGCCAGGGCATTGGTTCAATGTTGATGAAATACACATTGCAAAGAGTGGACTCGTCAAACGGTGGTGTAGGTTATGATTATCATTATTTGGAGAGCAGCAATCCCAAGAATGTGCCTTTTTATCAGAGACATGGATTTGTAACTGTTGGAGAGATGGGAATCATGGGTGGAACGGTAACCTTTATGATTCGTAAAAAGGAGGCAACCAGAGTCCCAGAATAATGTTGTAGCACAACATCGACGCAGGGTGGCAGAGGAATCTTCAAGGTGGATGGATCGATTATGTCTTGTATTAGAGATGCTCTCTGCTTTGATACTGAGTTGTAAAGCTTCTACGTGTCTCTCTCCAATAGCTCAGTGTAGCTCATTTCTCCTGAGAAACATGAATAAAACTTGTTTGTCAACAGGATCTCCGATTGACATCGGTGGCATTTCTCTTCAAACCGGCTGTACAACGTCGTGGGGTACTACCAACTATCCTTGCATCAAGATTGTTGATTACAGCTTCAGTAAACTCCTCAACTTCTACAAGGATCGAAACGGGGCAGCAATGTACGGCCTGTCCTAGAGGCACTGTAGACTTCACGCTCCTCTGCCCGTTCGAGCCCAACAAAGGAAAGGGCGGAATCAAAAATCCATGGAGGTGGATGTTGCAGGAAGCGTGTATGAGATTCAAGTTCAAAAAGCACTTGCACCTGAAGGAGCTCGTGGACGGCAGCAACAAGAAGGGCTGAACCTTTGCAATCATCAGGCCCACCGTAGTGCAACAGTTGCATAGTGCGGCAAAGCGTAGAGTGACATTGAACTGAATTGCCAACTCATTCAAGATGTAGATGCTTTATCTTTTTTGGCTTTTCTTCACGGGTGCTTCTCTCCACACCAGAATGAGTAAACGATACTCATGCGCCGAGAAAGTTCAATCTCTGTACTGGATCAGTGTTGATCCAGTCACGAATGTCACTGCGGGGACCACTCGCTTCGCTCGGTTTATTCAGTTCCGAACGTACCGCCGTGCTGGCAGTTCAACGGCTGATGAACCCGGCCTTGAAACTTATGATTCTGGGACGGTCTCGGACTGAAGGTAAGAATGAAGTCACTAGTTTCCCGAAGTTTTACCAGCCTCTCAGCCTGTCTGATGCCTTCTGCAAGTGTACGGTCCGGCCGCGGGCCACCAGCGGGGTGAGCTGCTTCGAATTTTCTGTCTTTACTGTGACATGAGTCGCCTCCGGGGGTTCCGAAGAGTCCGGTACACCACCCCGGCCGCCGCGGCAGTGTCCGATCCTGGCAGGCTCGAAATCTGACTGTGCCTAGGCCGGCGAACCGTGGGACCGTGGGACCGTCGGACCTCAGGGCCATCATGAGTCCGATGATCGCCCGGCCGTTCACCGTCCGACGGCGAGAAACCTCCGGTGACTCAGCGGCTGCTCAGTGGGCCGGCCCGGCGGGCCCCGCGGCGCTGCCAGTGCCTAGTCGCGCCTGGCCGCCACCCGGCAGTCCTGAGCCAGTGGCGCCGCCGGGCTCCGGGCCCAAGCAGTCAACTTTAGCTCCAAGTACAGTGATGCAGCAGCCCGCCGGACCGCCCGGCCCAGCTGGCAGCCGGGGCTCAGCTGAAGACTCGAACAGAACTGAGGCACCGGGCCGTGCGGTTCCTAGTGAGTCTAGCTATCGCTCCAGGTCAGGTTGAAGCCGCTCCTCTCGGCGTTGATGGCGCTGGTCTTGAAGACGAGGAGGACCTGCCGGGCAGCAAGTCAGCTCCTGCTCCTCCTCAGCTGCTCTCAGGCCGCTGCAGGCATGGCAGTGTCATAGCTCACCTCGTTCGACGGGCACGCGATCGGGGCCTCGTTCTTGACTCCAGTGATGGACCGGAAGGCACTAGCCCAGTTGATCACCTGCAGTGCCGCCAAGTCAGGGTGAGCCGCCATCGTCCTCCTTGCTCGTAAGTCGCCCTTGCCCTCCTCCTCCTCCTCCTCCTCCTCCTCCTCCTCCTCCTCCTCCTCCTCCTGTCCACAAATGAATGGCCCCCGCTCCCTTGGCCCCCTGCTTACATCCTCATTGCGATAGCGCTCGACGTCCTTGGGCCCAGCAAAGATCGTGAGCCTCCCGGAAGTTCCGTAGATGTGGAAATCTTGAAATTGAAGAAGAACGTTCTGAACACAACAGTGAGATACCTCGAAACGAGAGGGAGATGGAAGAATGAGAACAGGAAGGAAGGAGGAGGAAGAGGAGAAGGTGGTGGTGGTGGGGATGGTTGGGGAGGAGCAGGAGGAAGGGGTTGGGCGGCGGAGGGGACTTCGAGGAGCAGGGGGAGCACGAGGGAGGTTTTACCTTATCTGATTTGATGATCCACCTGCAATCGTTGTCGGAAGGGTCAGGCACAGGCCCCGTTCCCGTTGTGATGCTTCCTCGCCGGCCCACGAGGTGCACGAGGCCATGGCAGTGATACGGAACGGCAGCAGTCACGTTCGGCTGCTTATGCGCTGCTGCTCTTTGATTGGTCTCCCTCTCATGCAAGAGAGCGCGCAGCTCTTCTGATTTCTCCTTCCACTTCTGGATCTCCTGCCGCAGGTCATGCTTCAGGGCCCTGTGGGGTAGCAAGGAAGGGCAGAGAAGTTCTCTACCTCATCCTCCCATCTTGAGGTGTTGCTAAGGCTGTTGAGAATCCCATCGAATCTCTTCCCCTCTGACTTCTTCAGCTCAACGTTGCTCAGATGCTCCGTTTTCACTCGAGCCAGCGCCTTGCGCGCCTCCTCCTTCCTGTTCAAGGCCTGACCCAAGTCATCATGTCCGGGCAGGAGCAGAGCAAGTACGTGTCGATACCTGTTTCATTCTTTGCCATGGATCATCACAATTCACATCACGGCAGATCGATTGTTCGAGCCCTTCGACCCTCCTTCCCAGCCCTTGGAGCCCATCTAGAAGCTTTCGCCCATCATCTAGGCCTCTCTGAGCAGCAAGTACGTTCTTTCCAATCTTGTAGAGGAATGTCTGCGCACAGCACATCAAAGTCAGCTTGAGTTATGAGTTTACATTCCACATGTCATGACAATCCTCACACTCGTCGACATGGTCGGGTGTAGATTCTTCTCTAGCTCCTGCTTAACTTGGTTGTCGAATCTATCTTGAAGTTGGTCTCGAATTCTAGCTCGTGCGATTTGATAAGCTGCAGTTATAACCTGAAGGTTGACACCAATAAACGAATAAATTTCGAATCAGATCTTCTTCTTACTCTATCCTCTCTCGCGTCTTCGTTGAAAGCATCCTCCAAAACCTTTTCTTTGCCTTTGATATTAGCGATCAGTTGTCTAGTCAATTTTGTTTCTTTCAATTCTGTCGGTTTTGAAACCTTCTGTCCTTCTTGGCAAAACAGCCAACCCGCGCAGAACAAACAGAGCGTTGCAGCGAATAGCACGCGGAGGAAACGGAGACGATCTCCTTGAGAAGTTGTCTTGTTCTTGATCATAGCGTGTTCTTGTGACAAGTCAGCTTGTGCAGCATCAATCATTTTCGAAGGTAAGCCAATCCACGAACTCTGCTCCACCTCACTCAGGCGTGAAACAGCAAGTGCATGTTAGGGACAATCAAGAGAATCGTTCAGTGTGCTGTCTGGTGGCTGTGATGTGCTTCTTGTCAGTTTGTTCTTTCAACTCTCTGGCTCCAGCTGCTCTTGGCAATCAAACATCTCGATTGCATACTTCGATCGTCACTGTCTTACCACAGGATATCACCATTCCCCTTCAACAGTGTTCACGCGCTATTGCCGTCGCAGCCGGCCATGGCGATTGTTATCTATTTCCGGTTTACCGGTTTGCTTGTAGTAACCGGAGGGACTGCGGCCCTGCCGGCGTCAGACTGAGGATATCCGGGCCCGGATGCTACAGACACTGAGACGGTGAGTGCGCCTCACTATGGGCTACCACAATAAATTTACTCATCAAAGTTAAGTTATCCACCCATATTGATCCCCAGCCTCCGCCGGGCGCTCAAGGACGTTCGGAATGCCGCGGACTACCCCTCCCCCCCCTGGAGAGGATGACCGTCCGACACTGAGGACCTAGAAGGGCCCTCCACCCGGGGCGCGATCATAGTCCGTTTCAGTTAGGGCCTCCGGTAGTAAAACATCTCAGATGACCCCCCTTCCCCCACCGTCTTCAGGACCACTGCTGCAGCCCGGTCTGTCACCCTTCTAAACGCCTTTAGGAGGGCGGTGGGTAGGTCATCTGACATACGGCTGATAGCACCCCGCTGCCATATCCTATAGTAGTAGCAAGGTACCATTGGGGGTGGGGGGGGGGGGGGGGTGGTTGGGAATGGAAACTGTACCCGGTGACCGGACGCACCACTGAGGCGAGGGGTAGGGGTCCGACAAGGGGGACCGGGGGGTTATCGCGGCTGTTATGGTCACGATACTTCGGATGGGGTCACCGGTGGTAGCACTGCGGCAAGTAGGCGGGTCCGACAGCGTGGGGGGTGGGGTGGGGGGGTACGAGATCAGACCAACCCACCCCAGACATGTATATCTCCCTGATGGATGTCTACTTCTTTGGTACCCCCCATTTCTCCCTTCATACACCCCACTATTTCCCACAACATGATCTATCCTCCATATTACTCCGGTTCTGACCACCTCCATAACCCCACCATTGCCCACCCCCACCCCCCTGCCAATCCTTTTGTTCCTAGGTCCGCCTGTACCAACCACCTGATATTGATAAAACAATGCTCGGACCTCCTGCTCCTGCTCCTGACACCGAGTTGCTGCCGTCACTACTGCTATCCTCCTCCTGCTCCTCCTGCTCCTCCTGCTCCTCCTGCTCCTCCTGCTCCTCCTGCTCCTCCTGCTCCTCCTGCTCCTCCTGCTCCTCCTGCTCCTCCTGCTCTTGCATCCACAGCTCAGCTGTTTTGTTCACTCCCTTCTTGTGTTTCCTGCTTCTGGTTAGTCCTGGACGTGAAATTGCTCCTTCGGCTCATCCTGGTTTGGAAATTCTGTTCCGCTTGTCCTGCGTTTCCATCTCATCGGGGTGTTGCCCTCCTCTTCCTCTGAATTCATTTTGGATTATGTGTTCTGCTGCTCCTGTCCAGAAATGTCTGCACTTCTGCTAGTGTTGGAAACCTTTGTTTCAACGACTGGCTGTAATTGTCTTTACCTAACTTCTAGCGTAACTGATCGAATCATGAATTTCAAACTTTCACATGTCAACATCGATTATGTTGCAGTGTCTGAGGAGTTTGTCTGTATAGATTGAGTTTGAGCAGTCACAGGCATTGCTAGCAGATTCATCCCTTGTGTGATCTAGCTGATTTGCTTTCCCAGGATAATTTCTTGGGGAATCCCACACGCATCTGCCGAATAGCATGGTGGGATTTCTTGCATACTCCATTGGTGTTGGGACGGGTTACTGTTTCACATTCTCTTGACCGTCATTGATCTACCATGTCCCTGTGAAACCATGACAGAATAAGAGCCTTGTTCGTTTCATTAGATTGAAGACCCTGTCTGTTGCATGGTGGAGATCAAGCTCGAGAGGTGAACAGTGGAACTGGTTGGTAAAATGCTCATCAGACGGGGCTTTCTCGTAGTCGATGTGAGCGAATAGAGGGTTGTAGCTTTATGCCGTTGATGTAAGGTTGTCGACAAATACTGATCTGAATAAGTTCTTGTCGCAATGCCGGAAGTCAACATGGATAAAGTTGACGAGGAGGAGGATGAGAGACATGCCGAAGAAAGCCTCACAGAAGACGTCACCGAAACCGCTACTCCTCGTAAAGGCCGGATCAGTTCTTTCTTCAGGCTCAATTTCAACCTCAAGCCGCAAGAAACGATGAGCAGCTTTCCCGAAAATGAAGCTGCAGAGCTCGATTTGTATTGCCAGCTCGATGAAAAAGACTTAAACAAAAAGATCGAGAAGCTTCCTTTCCTCATCTTTCATCCACGAGCTGCTTGGAGACTTTTGTGGGATTTCATGATCTTTGTAATCCTGATCTATACTTTCTGTGCTGTACCGATAAGATTTGCATTTTCTGACTCCACGCCAGACTGCGAGACTGGATTCTTGCAACAGGGTTTCATGTTTTCTTCGATTGCATCATTGATTTGATCTTCATCATAGACGTCTTTTTGAATTTCCGAACGGCCTTTGTCATTCCAGCCTCAAACCGTCGTGGCACGACGAAAGATCAATTGGTGGGCGATTGGAGAAAAATTGCCAAACGCTACATGACAGGTTTCTTCATTGTTGATATCATCTGCAGCATACCGATGGACTTTATTTTGTACATGACATGTGACCACACGTCTACTTCGTATGGGGGGTACAGAGGACCCCAGGCTATCAAATTCATCCGCATTTTGAGAGTCCTGAGGCTCTCGAAACATACTCGGATGAAAGAAATTCAACTTTGGGTCAGAGACAAGCTTCGTATACACCCTGGTTGGCTGAGACTGATCTTTTTTGTATTGGGTGTCTTGCTAATTGCTCATTGGAATGCTTGTATCTTTTTCTTCCTTGGCAAACAGGCGGTGGCCTTGGATTTGGATCATAACGTAAATGTGACCAGCTCATCATATTGTGAGATAGTTGAACATGTTTCCTTCTTAACCGACCAAACATTTGCTACGGCGATTGGAGTCTCAAGCAATCCAGTATGCGTTTACGACATGGTTTGGTACGAGCAATACCTGATTGCATTTTATTGGTCGACATGTACGATGACAACTGTTGGTTACGGCGACATCACTCCAGCAAATGTGTATGAGATGAGCTTTACAGTGGTTGTCCTTCTTGAAGCAGGGTTGGCATTTTCGTACATGATCGGAAACATGTCCAACTTGCTAGATAGGATCAATCCCCGCAAAGGCACATATCGTGACATCATGACAGAACTGGAGGACTTCATTCACAGAGAAAAGTTAGCTCCGACCCTTGCAGAAAGGCTGAGGTCGTACTGGACGTACAAATACAATCACCCGATGTCGAGCCTGCCGCAGTTTGCAAAGGAGAACCTTTCCAAGTCATTGCTCAAGGACATTACTGCGCACATCTACAGAAAGATCCTTCAGCGCCTTCCCCTCTTCAAACGGCTCGACGACTTTGTCATCACTGACCTGGCACTTGCTTTGAACCCACTGCAGCTCGCGCCCCACACCTTTGTATACCGAGAGGATGACATCGGGGACTCGATGTACTTTGTGTCAAGTGGACAAGTTGAGATGTCGATCTTCTTGCTGTCACTGCAGAAGAAGAAGGAAATCTCACTGAAAGTGGTCGCTGACACATCGTACAAGACTTTGAATCAGAAGCCAGAGAACAATGGAGACATTGTCTTCACGTGGAAAGGACATCGCAAGTTCATGAAGTCTAACAGATATCAACCCATGGTGAATCAGTCTCTACCATTCTTCACGCTGTCCTTGATGATCGTCCGCAGATGTTCAAGTGGACTGTAGATGAAGAGCGTGTCGTGAGTTATTTCGGAGAGAACGTGCTGACAGGGAACTCGGCAAGGCGGCTCTCTACAGCACAAACCAAGACCTGGTCAGACTGCTTGTGGGAGGTTTGTGCTGGCTAACGAGGAGTAGGTGTCAACTGTTTCAGCTGAAGAGAGACGCGTTGAGGACAGTCGCTTCCAAGCACAGGGGCATGATGGAGGTGTACCAGACGATGAAGAAGTCAAGGCACTCGCGACTGCTGAGGGCCCTTAGGATGATCCTCCTGTGCAACAGAGCCAAGTGAGCCCCTCCTGCCTGTTGCAGCCTCAACTGACAGTCAACGACCAGGTGGATCTCAGGCGTTAAACTGTTTGTTACTGTAGATAGAGCTGTTAACCTCCCGAGAATGGACGGAATCCTCGGCTCCTGCGACGCCTACTGCTGCATACGCTTGGGAACTCCGGAGCCGCGCAGCAAGGAGTATCAGACTCTAGTCCAGTATAACAAGGTCGGCCTCCCTTGCAGCTTCTTGTGCGGGACTCACGCCAGTCTCAGATGAGCCCCGTGTGGAATGAGACGTTCGCATTCGTCATCGACTTTGCGCAGGAGTTCTCCAGTCAGGGCTTCCCAGTCAGGCTCTACTTCTCCCTAAAGGACTTTGACGTGTTCGGAGAAAACGACGACATTGGTTACTGCGCGGTGAGAGCATGTGAGCAGTTTCATACAGCGACTTATGGCAGGGAGCAGATTGACGTGTCGTCGTTGCTGAAGCGCTGTTTGCATCTCAATGCTACTCAGACGGACTCGAAGTGGGTGGGGCTGAAGAAAGATGGCGGCGATGGGAAGATGAAGAACGTGGTGGGTCAGAACTTCAAACGAGCGAAGGTCCGTGTGGCAGTGTAATCGGTTCTCAGAGAGTTGAGGTGACTTCTTTGTGCAGATGAGAATTGAATTGAAAGTAGTTCCTGCCAAGAACATGAGCGAAGCGTCATCGATTCATCCGTAATACGACCTGATTGTCAAACTTGCTGGAAAGCTGAACTTCTGCTCCAGGGAGATCTCACCAGACAAACTGAGCAACAGAATAGCAGAAGAAGGTTCATTGAGTGTTGAGAGACGAGAGCCATGTCTTGATGTGTTGCAGGCGAATTCGTTGAGAACGATGATGCTTATGAGCCCCCGCCTCTGCCTCTCTCTGTTCCCCTGTCTCCTGAACCCAACGATCTCGACGACAAGATGCCGTTTAGGAACACTTTGACGCGGGTTGGCAGGTAGACCTTTCTCTTGCTCTCTTGCAACATGCCGCTAAGTTGCTGCTCACAGTGACCTCTCGACCGTCTCATCCGAGCTTGACCGTGATCTCAGCACGACCGATCTCACGCAACTTGTACGGAGCTGCTCTCTGATTGATGTAAACGTGACGACCCGGCTTGCAGGACGCTAACGCGGAGGCACATAGAGACATCATGGAGTCCGACGACAAACTGATCATGTTGGCTGAGATTAGTCAGATGAACCAGAGGTCGCTACTGCCCTTCCCCAACGGTACGTGAGATCTGGGGTACGTCCAGCATGACTCACGTACGATCGCAACAGATGAGAACAGGGTGCCGGACCAAGCTCTTCCTCTGGCTGACCCTGACGAGACTGAGGAAGTGCCCAGCATGGGTTTGCAGGAGAAGCACGACCATGTGGGAGAGCACACAATCAATGTCTCAGCCGCGCAGAGGAAGCTGATGAACAGGTGAGGGTACATGGAGGTGAGGCCTTTGCGAGTGATGGGCGCCTCCAGGTTAGCTGCAGCTCTAGCGAGAGAGCGCCAGCAGCACGAGGCAGAGATCTCGGCGCTTGAAATGCAAGTCAAGGTGAGCCCTCGACCTCCTCTACTGGAAACTTTATTGACCATCATTCCATCACAACAGAAGCTAAAGAAAGACCTGAAAGATGTTGTGGAACAATATCACAAGACTGTAAATATTCCCCCAAACCAACCGACCCTGTAATAAATATGAATTGTACTCTCTACATCATTTACGTCCACACATCATAGCAGTACCTTTATCGCTATCATGTGATACGGCAGCAGCTACATGCGCTTCTGTCATGTAGTCTAGAAATCTATAACATCTTTTGCAGTGTCATGTGCTCATAAAGCATCTGTCATGTAGTCTAGACATCTACAGCTTGTCGTGCTCATTCCTTCTTCCTGACAAAAGATTGACAGCGATGGTTCTGGGATGAGCACGAAAGGGAGTGATTTCGTGAGCTCAATTTTTAAAAGAAGTTCTATAAGGGTAACTTTTGAATTTTTCACTAAATTTTCAATAAATCATATAGAGATTTCGGAACCTGTGGAAACAAAAGAAAAGAAGTTTACTACCTGATTCTCACCACCCTACCCCTTGGCTCACCCCAATCGTAATTTTCACCTACCCCTCATCTCGAATTCAAAAATCTTTAGTACCCGACATGAAAAGCATGAAAGTACCGGTCCTTCATGTACCCCTCAATCCCCAAGGCACAAAAAAAATCTCCACCCCCTCCTTGTTCCCTGCAAAACTCGTGGCTCGTGAAAGACCCCATGGTCAACATTCCTTTGCGGTCAGAAAGGGGGGTACTCATATCAACCCCTTGGATCTGAGGACCCGTCTCGGTACAACCTTGTTTGAGAGGACCCACCCCATGTCACCCCCATTCTTTGCGATGTCCATAAGTACCCCACAATTTATGGTTATTTGCACGGGTACTTGGAGCATTGGTGTTCCTCTACCAACCTGAAAATCTTGACTACCCAAGGGGCTGACTACCCCACCCTACGATTCCGAAATGTCCAATATAGCTACTCAAACTAAAACCCTAAAATGTATCTTGATTCTTTCTAAATATAAGCTGGGGGTAGGGGTGGTATGGGTAGGGGTCATTTGTATATGAACAATCGTGTTATGGAAGGGGTGGGTACATGTCCCCCGTTTTCGAGAGGGTGACAGAAGTCACCCCACCCAAGAAGGGGCATGTTGACCATTGACCCATAACCCCTCCCATTTACTTAACTTCGAATTTCACCCCTTCAAAAGTACCCCTACCCCTGCGGTCTGAGGACATTATTTGTCATGACCCTCAAATAGAAGATCTATGACCCTATCTTTGGTAGTCAACAGGGCCATACTCAACTACCCCCTACCCCACAATCCATTACCACCCGGTCGTAGAACAATGGCTAAGATCACCCCACCCCGAACTGGCCCCTCAACCAAGTACCCCTACCCCCAGCTTGAATTTTGTCCTGCTGCCAACTCCTCCAGCCCTCGTCCAGCCCCATCCTGTCCCCCCCTCCTCTCGTCCTCCTCCCCTTCCTCCTCCCCTTGTCTCTCACTACCCCCCTCTACCTCTCCCACTGACCCCCTTTACTACCTACCATCCCAACCTCTGCCTGCTCCCTGCTCTTTCTTTCTCCTTTCTCACATCCTTCATTACCGGCATAGTCCTTCCTTTGGCTTCTTCAGGTTGTTACCAGGCTGCGTGAGTGCGGTTTTTGCTTTGTTCGTCCTTTCTGGTTCTCCCGTTGCAAGTAGCTTGACTGAACTTCAAGTCACACTCAGTCAAACTTCGTTTCACAGCACTGGCTGCTCGCAATTGTAAAACATTGTTGCGCAACATTAACAAATTGAGAATTTTGCCCTCCTTTACATTTCTTGAAAATATTTTCGGTTTTTTTTTTTTTGCTGAATTACAGTGAGGATTTCTTCTGCATCCTGTAGTTGAAAGCTTCTTTGTGTTCTGTTGCTCTTGTTGCAACAAACGATGAGTTCCCGTGCAAACTGCGAGGCTTCAATAGTCTCCCCCTTACAACCAAGCTCCGTGGGTGATACCGTACTGATGAGTGCCGCTTGTGCCAATGAGGGCAGAGAAAGCCTTTCCTTCGCAAAGGTTGTGGAGGCAGAAACCCAGAAGTTTGTTCATGATGCACGTTTCACCAAGGGGATAGTGCGGTACAAGGATCTAAAGGATCATATGAAGAACATGCAAAAGGCTAAGTATGCAGCGCAGCTGCCGGAGCGTCGGTCAAGGTTCTTGAATGAGGAGTGTTCAATCTGCCTGGAGACTCTCGGCCCGGCCTCTGATGTAACGCAGACAGCTTGCAAGCACATGTTTCATACTTTCTGTCTGGTTGAAACTTTGGGAAACGGAATCTGCACGTCTTGCCCTCTGTGTAGAACTGAGGTGGAGAAGTTGGTTCCTGGAGGAATTGATGGTCAGTCCCTCAAGCTGATCGCAAAGCTCAGGATCAACATTGACGCTGCACAGTGGTGCCACAAGTCCATATTGGATGAGATTCAGGCGAAGGCCTCGTCCTGCCAACAACAGCTGGAGTCGGTGTGGGTGAGGAAGTACGTCCCCTTCACCGGGCAGAAGCGCAAGAAACTCCGGCAGCAGATTCAGTCGCTGATTGATCAGCTCGAGCTCCTCGTGCGCTTCAGCGGGATCAACGTGAAGGGTTTCACGAAGATCTGCCAGAAGATCGAGAAGAAGCTGAGCCACGGCCTTGCGGCAAACATCATGGAGAAGTATGTTAAGAAGATGCCCTACTACTTGGATTGTGCCGAGGATGGAAACGGGATCGCGCATGCTCTCGGGGAGGAATTGAGGAGGATGTTGCAGGAGGTGGGTGGCAAAGCGGATGAAGATGAAGTGACTGTCGGGTGTTCAGCGTTGTCGTTGCTGATGAAGGGAGACAAGCACAGGTCACATCCCAACCAAATGCTCAACATGTAAAGTTAATGTTCGCATCGCATGCTATCTGTGAGGTTAGAAATGTATTTTGGATCGACTGGAAGGTAACATTAGTAGAGCGATATTTGACCCTTTTTTTTCTCAAAATGAAAAATTATGATGACTACCTTGGACTACTTTGCCTTTGCCTGACTCACAAGCATGGAGATCGACTTGTTGTCACCGCTCAGATGGAATTCCCTGTCAAGGTTTGAGTCAGGAGCAGAGCCTTGCTCTTCGTTGCAGTCAGGCTCACCGTGCTGCCTTGACGACATGGCACATACCAGGCGTCAAAGTCTGCTGCTCCCCTGCATCCGACAACTACAAAGGAGCTCGTCAAACTACGTTACGGTCTCTTCCGTCGTCTGACCGCACAAGTCCCTTCCAGCTGATACACGAACGTGTCGCCCTTCCGCTGATATTCATGTGGTTTGTCTTTGCTCGGACCAACAAGGTGAATCTGAAGAAAATCAGTCAGAACAGCTGAGGATAAGAAAGGCAGGCAGGCAGCTGAGGTTGACAACAAGCAATGATGAGCAGCATACACCTAAATCAAGCACACTGCTACGTTTGAGCATGGTCTCACCGAGAATTCTTTATCAGGGTGCGACAAGTGTTGCATTATGTCCAGTTGCTGTCAGGGAGCATGCTCCAGTCACAGAGCAGAACATCAAAGAGGCGTTGAGCAGAGCAGAGCAGAGCAGAGGAAATACGTTTCCAAGCAGCAAGTGCTCCCGCTGGGAGGATAGGATAGCGAAGAGGTCTTGGGGCGCTGGCACTTGTATCTCAGTATCGTCTTGGATCAGCTCAGGAGTTGGGCAGCTAGTCGCTGTTGTCTGATGGGAATGGTACTCCTCAGATCTCAGGTATTCCTCAACCACAGGAACGAGGTCTTTCCCAAGGTCCTCGCACCTGCTCCAGAGTTGAGATAGTCTATGCACCTCTGAAGATGCCCCTTCAAAGTCTCTCCGCCCCTACTCCTTCTCTTCCTCCTGTCGCAATAGTCTTCCTTCCTGCCCCCCTACCTTCCTGGCCACTCCTTCCTGTAAACCTAATGTCGCACGATGCTCCCATTTTCTCCTTCCATTCCCACTTGCTCTTCACGCACCTGAAATATCTCTGGAACAGAATCTCGTCGCACTTGTCAAAGTCCTTGTACCACCGTAGGCAGTCCATCTCCCCTTCCTCCCTGACCCTCTCGATCACCAGCCCAACCGTGTCGGCCTTCCGCTGAGGGGAGTGCGGGACTCTGGGAGGGAGAATGAAGATGTGGCCTTCGGGGATGATGACGTCTTCTCGCCTGCCTCGTTGGACTGTCGGGAGCATCATCTGCCCCTTGATCTGAAAAAAGAACTCGCCTCCCTGTTTGCATAATGAGAGACATCAGGCCGAGGTGAAGGATCGCAAACAGAGTAGAAGAGCAAAGAAAGTCACGGAACCAGAACAATCGTGAAGCTCAGACGTTAAGTCAGATCTTCGACAGCAGCAGAATAGGAAGCTAAGAGACATGAGAGCGGGAGGAGCCGGTGGTGGGCAGATTGGCGGGAGGGGGGAGGGGGGGCGAGGGAGCAGATTGGGGGAGGAAGGGGAGGGGGACGGACTGGAGGAGGAGGGAAACTTTGTGCTCACTTCTTCGACATGGAAGTCGGTCCTCTGGTTCGGGCCTCCGACGATCATGATACTGAGCTGCTGCTTGTGCATGAGGATGTTGCAGATCGGAGGACGCAACTTCTCCTCCCGCTCCTTCACCCATGCTGCCAACTCTACCGCCATGGATTCTTTGTGGACAGAGTCGTCGTTCTCAGTATGATCATGCCGCCCGGCCGCCGGGGCCCTGACCCGACGGGCCCCGGCGGCGGTGGCCGGCAGGCCGGCGCCGGCCGGGCCCGGCCCGTGCGAGTCATCTTTTGCCACACAAGTCAGGCTGAGTCGAAGAGACATAGAGCAATCAGCTTTATATGGAGGTTAGCTGACATACCCCAGTGACGAAATGGACCCCTCTTAATGATCTATAAACCACCGGTACTCGCTGCTGTTGTACTACGGATAGGCGGCTAGCTAGCAGGCTTTCAGACCCTCCACCCCCACCCCCATTCAATCTTTTAAAAGTACCGGTGCGATATGGGAAGGGTTGGCCCGCCTTGAACGTGAGCCGACTACCCCACACCCTTTTGGTCACATGTACCCCCTTAATTCATGGGAAGTGTACCGGTGGACAAGGAGCAATATGAGGGCTGGCCCGCTACCTTGTTTCTCGTGCTTAACGGGGGCCGTGCGGGGGCCATGGCAAGAGACGGAGGGGGAGGAGGAGGGGGAGGAAGGGGAGGAGGCGGCGAGAATGGGAGGGAGAGAGATGAGAATAAGCATGATCAAAGGAGGAGGAAGACGATGAGAGGAAGAAGAGTGGTGCTGCTGATGGTGCTGCAACGGTAGCGTTGAAAATGAGCGCGAATGGTACCTTGAGCGTTGAATGCACTAGGGTGGTTGTTGAAGGAGGAAGCAGTAAGAGAAGGGAGCAGACGACGATATGTATGCCCATAAAACTATCATCGGAAGGATCGCCACTGATCTCGAATGATTTCCAAGAGTTTCAGAGGCGCCATAACTCGAGCAGGTTTAAGTTGAGGGATGGGGTGTAAGGAGCAACCGCATTGAAAAGAGAGAGCGACGAAGATAGCTGAGAGCCAGGACGGGCATACCTTGGCAGAGACACACAATAAGACAGTCAGGGTAGAGATAAGGAGGCAGAGAGGAGAGAGAAGAGGGCGATTGAGGTCACATCAGGACAAGTCTTGTTGTCCTGCTGCGTTCTGACCGCTGTCTGCCTGCAGGGAGAGCTACATCAATCTCTTCTCTTCTTCCTTCCTCGACCTGCTGCTGCCTGCGTGATCGTAAGGAACTCGAGCTGTTCACTGCCCGCTCCCGCCCGGACCTCACTGTCAGACCCCCCCCTCCATCATGAATATTATCGCTCTCCTCTTCGGGATACTAGTCTTCTTCATCGCGGCTTCCAGCGCGCATGTCGCCTCCCCCCCCTCGAGTCAGCTGGCTTCCTCCATCAACGCCGCCATGGTTGCTGTGGTCGTTGGTTCGTTCGCGGCGATCTGGATGCGGATGAAGCAGCAGGAGCCCGCGGCAGCTGTGGAGGTGCTGCGGGAAGAGAAGACCTTCTACGTCATGACCAAGAGGAGGAAGGAGGTAGAGGAGAAGCTCTCTACGATGAGGCGCGATGGCAGGGAGTCTGTGCTGGTGGTGGCCGACTTCGATATGACCCTGACCTCTTTCCTCATGCCCGACGGCTCTCGGGGCATGTCCACCCACGGCATGCTGGAGCGCTCGGGCTACTTCGGGGAGGCGTTCACGACCCGGGCCAAGGACATCTTCAACCGGTTCTACCCCATCGAGGTCGACCCGAACCTCGACTGGGACTCTAAGTTCGCCGCCATGTCCGAGTGGTGGGAGACTACCCACAAGCTCATAGTCGAGCAGGAGGTCACTAAGAAGGACATCGCTGCTTGCGTCAAGGCAGGACACTTCAGGTTCAGGGAGGGAGTCCCCGAGCTCCTGGCCCAGCTCAAGGAGCGCGAAGTTCCCATCCTCGTCTTCTCGGCTGGGATTGCGGACGTGCTGGAAGAGATCTTCAAGCAGCGGCTGGGGCTGGAGGGACTCCCGATCATCTCGAACAAGATGAAGTTCGACGAGGAGGGGAAGCTGGTCGGGTTCGAGAACAACACCATCCACATCATGAACAAGGGAGCCGTCGCCCTCGAGGGACAAAACCTCGAGCTCGTCAAGGACAAGTCCAACGTCATCCTCCTGGGTCTGTCCCTCCCTCCCTCCCTCCCTCCCCTCAGGCTCTCCAGAACTCCTGCGTCCTTTGTTGCCTCTTCTCCTTTCCTTCTCCTGCTCTTTCACCCCAAAGCACCATCCCTCTTCTTTCCCACACCCCCTCCCTCCGTCCTCGTTACCCTCATTGTCCTGCAGGAGACAGCCTGGGCGACCTTCGCATGGCTGACGGCCTGCCTAACAAGCAGCAGGTGAGGAGGGACGGAAGGAACACAGAAAGAAGTGACGTGGCTCTAGGTTCTCAAGATCGGCTTCCTCAACGATAAGATCGAGGAGAGGAAGGAGGAATACCTCGAGAAGTGAGATCCTCCCTCCATCCCTCAGACCTCTCTCCTCCCTTCCCCCCTCCCCCTCTCCCTCCCCCTCCCCCTCCCCCTTCTCCTCCTGCCGTTCCTCCTCTGCCTCCTCTGCCTCTCGTCGGCATGTACCTTTCCTCTCTCACTCTTCTCACTCGCGCTCTCTTGTCAGGTTCGACGTTGTCATCGTCAACGACGGGCCCATGACGGCTGTCAACGAGCTGCTCGCTCCCATCTTCGCCTGAGAGGTGCAGCTGATCTAGAGCTGAGAAGTTTGCGGCCTAGGAGGAGACCTGCTGGGGTAGACGCGTGTAGTATAGCTGAGAGAGAGCTAGAGTATTCTTTGCATGAGAGAGTTGAACATCTCTTAAAGAGTTGTATACAAGAAGTGATACCAACAGATGTCCGATGCCATCAGGCCAGCAATCGCAACGTTTAGCGTGCCAAACGCGTTTGGCATTCACCTGGAAAATGCTGGAGGGAAGACCCGGAGGGAGTTTGGATGTTGTGAATGAACACGCAAGGTGAAGAAGCAAAGGGAGGGAGAGAGGGTGAGTGGGGGAGGGAGAGGGGCAGGAGTCCGGCAAATAGGGTTGAAAAGAAATATATCTTCATCTGTCATCAACAAGCCTGTTGCCCTTACAAGCCTTTAAGGTTACATGTCTCATCACACTAACTTACACGTCATGATTCGCCTCTCACAACCAGCTCCGCCCCCCAACGTCCTCCAGCCTCACAAGCGGCACCCTCAGATCCTGCTTGCGTTACATGAATGTTTCATCCTCCTGTTCTCCTCGGAGATCCTAATCGCCTCCACCGCCACCTGCAGTCTACCAGTCAAACTCCTCCTCTCCCCCCTTCAGCCTGTCCCATCCACCAATCTCCCCCTCCTCCTCCTTGTTCTCCCTCTCCCTTCACCCTCCGCTCCTTTCTCTCACCAGGGAGGTCAAGTGCAGCTGGGTGGTAATGCCCACACACGCGCAGTTGAGCTCGCCGATGAAGTAGTAGTCCTTTCCGTCAACCCATGGAGGCCTGTGTGTGAGAAATGCCATCAGGCTCTGCCTCCTTCGACTCTCCCCCTCCTCACTTCTACCCTTCTGCCCTTTACTGCCTCTCTCTCTCTCTGGCTCCTCCTCCCCTCCCCTCCCCTCCCCTCCCCTCCCCACCCTCTTCTCCTCGCACCTTGGTCCTCCCAGAATGAAGTCAGCAGTCCAGAGGAGGGGAAGGGGATGGTTGTGCATGCCCAGGAGAGGCAACAGGTTCTTCAGATCCCTGCGAACCTCCCATCAGCTCAAGAGCCTCTCAAGAAGAAAAGAGGAGGAGGAGGAGAGGAGAAGAGAGGGAGTGAAAAGCACAAGAGGAACAGGGGCAGCGAGGAGGGAGTGAGGAGCGGCAGGCAGACAGCAGCATCGTCAACCTGTTGACGAAGGAGTGCATGAGCCTTGCAAACGTGGGATCGTCGGGCTGGCCAACAAGGTCAGACGAGGAGGAGGAGGAGCAGAGCAAGTCAGTCCAACCTCGTATCTAGTGTAGGTAGCTCCGCTCTTCAACGTGGCGGACACTCCTCCCTCCTTTGGTTTCTTGTGCAGAATCTCCACCGGCTTCGCTCCGATGAACAGGACACGGACCTGAGCAGAGAGGTCATGAGGGAGCTCGACGCGAGCTCTAGAGCGCGTCATCACCTCTCCCTCCGAGATTCGAGGCATGAAGGCTTGATCGATCAGCTGAGCTCCGTTCTCAACGCCTCCCTCGAGATACCTGCGTAGAACTGTTTGAGCCCCAGATCTGAGGAGGTGGAGCAAGCAGAAGAAACAAGGAAACGGAGTAGGTAGGCGAATCCGGAGAGGAAAGGGAGGTTACAGGAGGAAATGGAGGAGAGGGTTCAGGAGAGTGAGAATTGAAAGTGAGGAAGCTGACACGATGTAGAGGGACAGTATGGGCCTTGCTCTACTTCACCTCTCAGCGAACGTGAGGAATTCTCCGAGCTGCATGTACTCGACATGGTTATCAACAGCCTGACAAACAGTTGAGATCGCTGCAGGACCTTCCACCAACCTCCACGAGCATGAGAGGGGAAGGGCAGTACCTCTGTCAACTCGAGCTCAGTCCCGAGGTCCAGCGAATGGTTTTTCCTCCAGAGGCTCGGGTCCTTGAGCTTCACGATCCAGATCCCTTCTCCTTGCGATCCCCTGTTCTGCTTCACCACCCTAGGGCCCTGTGAGATGGTGGTCGGGAACTTCTCTCTCCATGTTTCCTGCCGTGTCGTCGTCAGGCAGGCAAGCCACAAGTCGGTCCCTCCTCCTCCTTACCCGATCGTAGTAAGCAAAAGTGTCGGGCAGTCCTGTGCGAAGAGGAGCGATCTTGGCGAGCGCGTCCTGGTGGGGCTCTCAGCCACCCGTCCGAAAAGAAAAGTCTCCTCTTCATCCTCCCCTCCGCTCTCCCTCTCCCTCTCCCTCTCCCTCTCCCTCTCCCTCTCCCTCTCCCTCTCCCTCTCCCTCTCCCTCTCCCTCTCCCTCCGCTGTCCCTTCCCCTCCCCCTCACCTTGGACCCGAACTTGCTGATCAGCTGAGGATGTGCCATGCCAGCGAGGCCATAGGTGTCCGCAAGAGTCCCGAGCAGGTTCTCGTACTTTGAGATGGTGAAGTCGTCGTACACATCCGGGTTCACTCGTGAGATGTACCCATCCACTCCTTGCGACGCATACTTGACAATGAGATCATATGCAGAGTCTGAGTAGAACACAGGCATGGCCCACCAGCCCTTCATAACCATAGTCAGCGTCCAGCAGAGAGAAAGGGCAGCAACGCGAGATTGCTCCCTGTCGATTTCACTTACCAGCTCAATCAGGCTGTTGCAGATGGGGATGGTATCTTTCCTGTGATCAAAACCAGGAGATTTGTCATCTCCTCCTCTCGCTCCAAACACGATGATCCTGTCCCGACATCATCAGTCAGTTGTAGTCGAGTTCGCTCAGCCTTGTAAACGATTTTCAGCAATGTGAACGAAACCATATGTTTCAACATGTTCATCCCCATTCAAGAAGCATCACACACGAGGATCCTTTCAACAATCATCAAACCATCTTCTACCCTCGCGCCCCACTCAACACTCAACACCGACGTCCAAGATCTCACCTTCCTTTCGGCTCGGCAGGCTGCATCCTCAGCCCATACGCTGTCAAGTTACCGAACAGAAGATCTCTCTCTTCTGCTGTACATCCTGAGATGCCATAGATCGCCTGGCAGTTGCCGTTCGGGTTCAACCCGAAACTGCCCCACAGGCTGTCACTGATCAACGAGGCAGTGATGTTGAGGGCCATGACGGCGCTGCACGTCCATGATGCGCAGTTGCTGGGCACGGACAACATGATGTGTTCTTGAAGGAGATCGAGAAGGAGAGGAACAGCCGAAAATCAAGTGAAATGTTCTCACAAGCTCAACCTCTGATGGCCGAGGAAGTCTAATATCTCATCTTGTGCATCGCGCCCGACAGTCCTAGACCAGCAGAAGCGTCAAATGAGAGAATGTTCCAACCACTCATTCGGACAAGAATGATCGTGACTTTGCACGCAACGTGATAAAACATCTACTTCAATATCTACTACCTTTCTGCTACAATGTCTGCTCGAAGGACTGGCGAGGATGGACAATGCTATGGAATGTACCACCTCGTTTCGTTCATACCCTCCATGAGACCGATCATGAGGCATAGTCTACTCGTTATCTATCGTTCCATAAACTAGCTCCGTTGCTCAGACTCTCAGTCCGGCATCGTTACGATCCTGCCAGAATCCGCGCATACTTCTATGTCCCATCAACACGTGCAAGTATTCGACCTTCTCAGCTCCTCCCTGTTCTAATGGCTCTCTAGACATGATGAAAACTTGATCTTCAGCTGTCATTCACTATCGTTCATTTGTCTTTCCCGCCCTCCTCTTCATTTCTCTTCTCTCTTATCCATTTCTCCGTCTTCGCATACTTTCGGGCGGAGCTGCCATGGCTTTCCCCCAGTAATCACATATAATCCCACCCCAGCATCCACCACCCCCACCCCTCTAAATTCTGGTATTTGAAAAGTACCCCTCTAATTAACATTACCCCACCCTCTCTCTTGCTGCATGGGACAGTTACTCATTGGTAGGGTAGTTGACCCCACCCATCGACTTATGCTTGAATTTCAACTAAATGTCTATGCAGCCAAGGAGTTCATGACCCCCACCCTGAAACAGCATGGATCTGTAAACCTGCCGACTACCCACACTCGAGAAAGTACCCACCTTTTGAAGGACTGCCCTGCCTTACCACCCCCTTGTTAAGAACCCCCACCTATCCAGAAACGCTTTGCCCCGAAGGTTGCGGTCTGACGTCATGGCAATGGTGGGTAGATGACTTTAGTAAGGTGGGGTACTGGTAGGCATAATGGAAACTAGGCGGGTACTCTGAGAACCAAGACACAATTACACCGGGTGGTATACGGTCTGTTTGTCTGTGAGGGAGGGGTGTATATGATCACTGACGTAAGGGGGTGGTAGGGTAGTGGGTTGTTGGTCATGGAAATCTTTGAGGTGGGTGGTCGGAGCGTCTAGTGTGGGGTTCTCGATCGACGTACGGAGAATTCCATTGAAAGTTGGCGAATTCCGAGATTTTGGGCAGAAATTTCAAATATTACTCGGTGTTTATCAGGAAAAATGGATATATTTCATACATAATTTCTATATTTCGTTGAAATTCCTCAAATCTCTGCGCCAACTATTACGAGTCTTTTCGCCGCTTGATTGCGTGTACGAGGCGCTGAGTACCCTACCTACTAATATACGGTCAAAACCACCCCTTCGGACTGTTAAGGGAAAAAAGACCGTCCGAATTTTCTGATGAACTTCGGAACCCCAGGATCGCGTTTCCCACCCCTACCCCCACATTCTTTCTCTCTGTACCCCTACCCCACCATTAGTAATGAAAGTACCCCCATTGATCTGTGATTTTCCGATATATCACCCCTACCCCCTGTCCTCTATCCTATTGGCTTCCCCAGTTGTCGTGGATCTCCTCAAGTTGTTTTGGACGTCAAGTACGATTCAAGTACCCGTCCTTTCCAGCTTCAAAGTACCCCTTCTGGGTGGGTACTCACAACTTGACGAAGTAAACCCTGCCGGGCCTCGGCCGGGCCCTGCCGGAATGCCCCGACCCACTCAGTTTCGGATACGTAACGGTTTGTAACCGAGTGACTCCTGCGCCGGAATGCAAAGGCGACTTTTGGGAGGGGAGGAGGAGGGAAGGAGGAAGGAGGCGTGGGGGGAGGAGCGACGAGCTATGAGCCTCGTTCCTCTCCTCCTCCTCCTTCCCCTTGCCCTTATCCTGGTCATGGCTCCCCTGCATGCCGCATCCTGGGATGACACAAGCGTCTCCCTGTTGGAGGAGGACGTTGGTGAGTGCCCGATCGCCTTCAATCGAGGGCAGCTGGATGACGATTGTGTGCAGTGCCCTACTACTCAGGAGTCTTGGGACGAGGAGGATGGCAGGAGGTGAGACCAGAGGAAGGACTGCCTCTGCAATGTTGTCAGATAGCCTGCAAAGAGAGTTTGTGCAAAAAGCGAAGGGGGCAGACGGGGGTTTATATGAAGCAAGATCTGATGGAGCTTCTTTGCAGTGGACGGGGGCAAGAAGCCCTGTATGGAATGCTCCTGATGAACTCCCAGTAAGGCCACAGGTGATCTCGTCGAGGGTGTTTCATGCCTCCGGAAGTTGCTGACCCGACCATGGAGCAGGAGCCGGAGCCGGAGGACGAGGTCAGGAGCTACATTTCAAGGTGAAGCTGAAACCTCTGAGAGGTCTCCTCCTGCATCATCTCACGGTTTGCTGGGACAGAGACTACGTCGCCCCCACCGGAGGAGCTGACATCACCCACGTTGGTGAAGGGACGGAACGCGTGAGGGCTGGTTTAGAGGTGGGACAAGCGTGCTGTGCTCTTTCTGTTTTTCATGCTGGAGACGCAGGGAGCATGGGGAGGAATCTCGTCCATCACTTCCCCGGTGGGTGGGGGGGTAGGAGGGAACGAGATGGGGGGGAGGGCTGGCTACGAGACTTGGACGCACGAGGTAAGGGAGGTGGCAACATCGAGCATGCTCTATCCTCTGATCCCTTCATCCCCCCACTCCCCGTGGGCTGTCTCTGTCCTCTGAGATGATCTTCTCGTGTTAGGGTGGCGGACTTGCTGGCGCTGTCAGAGCAAGTTCGATCGCGATCAAGCCCGTTGCAGACCAGTATGTGAGTATAGTCCCCACCCCTTCCACCCTCCTCTCCCTCCCCTGCTCACACTTCCATCCTCTCCCTCCCTTCCTCCCCCTCCCCTCCTCCCTTTTCCTCCCCTTTGCCCTCTCCCTTTTCCTCTTCCCTGTTCCCTCCTCGACTTGTCTTTGGCTCCTCCTCACGGTTCGTGCTCGCAGGGCACCGACGGCTCGCTGGAGCAGGGGAACTTCCCCGGTGTGAACCCCAACGATCCCGACGGCACCAGCTGGATGATCGGGATGCACAGGGACGGTGAGAACACCGTTGGACGATGGGCGATCGCTCCGAGGACGCGACTTGCGCGCAAGCAGCAGCTGCTGGAGACGGGAGCAGACGTTACTGATGTCGGTGAGACCACGAGGGAGGACTACGTCCCTGGCGTGTACGGCCCGCTGAGCAGCGGGACGAGCTGGGTGATCGGCATGCACAGGAAGCCCATGTGGAGCGAGTCTCAGACGTACGCGTGCAGCACCACGACGCCATGCAAGAAGGGCAAGGCGGATAGGGCTCATTTCTTCCAGCAGGACACGAACCCTTACGTTGATAAGAGGAGGGTCTTCGACTCTTACGCCCAGCAGGACCCCGACAGCGTCAGGGGGAGGGACGCGTATCCTTGGGACCCAACGCTCGACCCGCAGATCTTCCGGTCCACTCCCAACTGTGCGGATGGGAAGCTGCGGTACGGATGCTTCCGGCAGCTGAGCCTGTCCAAGGACGCGCCTCCCATCCCCGAGGAAGAGACTGTGAAGGACATGGAGCAGTTTGCTGCTGAGCAGGCGGCTAAGAAGGATCAGCCTCCTCTCGGGGATCGATCCAAGTGGCCCATGTGGAGCGACGAGTCCATGGCCAACTGGCCCGCGTGGGCGAAACCGCCAGGCAGTCCGGACGACGAGACCCCGTGGGACCAAGACCTGCTGAACGAGGACCTGCTGAGTGAGGACAGCAGCTCCAGCTCAGCTGGGGAGAGCAGTGGAGCAGGTCAGGACAGCAGCTCCAGCTCAGCTGGAGAGGGTAGTGGAGACTTGGAGTGATGGAGATGTTGGTGGGTGGCTGCTGGCTGGGCTTGTGGCTGGGCTTGTCTCCGTTGCGAGGAGGATGGGGAAGGAGCGAGGGCAGGTAGAGGCTCAAGTGTTCGATGGTATTGGTCTGAGAGGAGCAGCAGCGAGAGGATGGCGATCTTAACGGTTCACGTGCTTAGCTTTGAATACATTTAGGTTGTAACAAGTCGTGGGTGACACCCGGCGAGTCGTCGGGCCGGGCCCGAAGCACCCACGTGATAATGTACAGTCGGGAAATGCCACGTCACGACTCGATACCGAGGGAAGCATTCTTGGACTGATACTGCAAGAGATCCTTCAGTTCTGTCAAGTCGGATCGGATCTAGTGGGACGTCAGTAACTGTCACGGCCCCACCACTCAACGCTCACCTCCTCTATCTCCTTGCGGATCAAATTCTTGGGGATTTCCTGGTCATGCCATGTCAGGCAGCTCGTAGAGGTGGGAGGGTTGAGATCAAGAAACTTGCGAGGAGTGAAGATACGGAGGTGAGGGGAGAGGGGGAAGAGAGGGGGGGAGAGAAGGGGGGGGGGGAGAAAGGGGGGGAGAGAGAGAGGGGGGGGAGAAAGGGGGAGAGAGAGGGGGAGAGAGAGAGGGAAGCAGTAAAGGGAGAAGAGACAGACGGAAACAGAGCAGGGGTGAGGAGGGAGAAGGAAGAGGGAGCAGAGGGGAGCAGAGGAAGGTACGAGAGAATATGACTACCTTGTTCAGAAAATGGTCAATCTGATCCACGACGATCTTGTGCGTTTTTTTGTCTTCTGGCCTGCAAAAGCGGCAAGGAATCAATCGACACAGGAGGAGAGCAGGGAGAGGTACCCGTTCATGGCGAGCAGAGAAGTATCAACCTGAAGGCACAGGCAGCAAGGCATCAGGTCAGAGGAGGGGGAAGGAGGGCACGAGTGAACTCACGTGGGAGAGGTTGATTTCAGATGACGACCTCGATTCCAGCTGCAACCTCTGCCTCGCTCTTGTGACGACAGGAGGCTGTTTGTGCTGCAGCCAACTGTTGAGTCACTATGACTAGCTCGGAGCAACGGACCTGCTCAGGCTGGTCGTGGTTGTCGTGCGGGCGGTCTGTGATTATGGGACCTAACGACAAGATCAGAGCGTGCTATCATGTGCGGGAGACAGACTCGGGCAAACAGTCTCATCTGAAGTTGATCTGGACAGCGTGACGTCATCAATGGCTTGCTTCTTCATGGTGCTGTATCTTCGGATTGTGTTTCGCACCTGACAGGCCATCCCGTCATCACTGGATACATACCGTAACTCTTGGCTTTACCGCCTTCTCCGTCGTCCTCTCATGAACCAGCCGGCTGGTTCGTTCAAAGTTTGAGTTTGACAACAACTTGAATCTTCGGCTTACCAGAACTGCTCCTGAGCTTCAGGAAACTTGACCAAACACTTTTCAAGGGACGACTGAGCTCGATGTAAGGTCCGGTGCAGTCCTAGTCACATGACGCACCTGGTCCAGAGCGAACAAGTTGCACCACGTCGTCGCTGTTATGGTCATGTTTCTGTGATCCTCCAGACCGAGCACGCAGTTCTCCCCAAAGTAACTCCCCTGCTGAGAGTCTGAGTATCCATCTCACACGCCCAGCAGCGCTCGGGCTGACCTCGTGCAGCTCGACGTATATCCCCTTCTCTTGGTCAACAGTGACCTCCACACTCCCTTTGATCAGAAAGAACATGCTCTCTCCGTACTCTCCCTCCTGCGCGTTCAAGTCAGGGAGAAACTCCCAGCAGAGCTGTGGATCTGAGGGGCCCAGCAGGAGAGAGGCACTTACTTCGTAGAGGATGTCACCCGGGCAGAGAGTCCGAGCTTTCAGGAAGAAGATAATCTCTGTTAAGAATTCCTGACCGCAGTTGCGAAAGAAAGGCACGCTGGTGATGAGGTCGTTGTACAGCAAGAGAGCGACTTCCGAGCGCAGGGCGCTCGACAAGTCTTCGACCGACTTGGGGATGTCCCGGGAATGGTTGAAGTCGTACTCGAAGAAGCTTCGCGTGCGGATCCTCAGGTCAAGGGGGAGGTTCTCCTGGTGCATGAAGTCGTCGAGCAACTCCATCTGCTCTCTGAAGGTCCTCCCCTTGAAGTCCATCTTCCCCAGGACAGACTCGATGCTGCCGACGATGACGGCAAACGTCGAGGCTCCGATCCCCATCATCAGGATGCAGTACATGATCTCCGGCGTCGTCCTCATCGTCACATCGCCATACCCGACAGTCGTCAGGGTGGTAAGCGTGAAGTACATGGATGCGAGGTACTGCACGGAGGAGCTGGCCTCCTGCATCCAGGACCCATCGTGCTGCAGGCATTCGGTGATCATCGTTGCTGTCTGATTGGGCTGAATGTATCGCATCCTCGTCTTTGAGTCCGGTGTGACGTTGCCGTCGGCGTCGGTGATGGGTGGCGGGCAGGAGAGGACGTACATCTGATCTCCCGGCACGTAGATCTGAAACTCCGACGCCCAGTTGATGGAGAAGTCTTGCTCGAAGTCGACGATCAAGAAAAGAAAGCAGGCCATGCAGTGACTGAGGACTATCACGAACAGAAGCAACTTCACGAGCCGAAGGTGCCCGGGGTTGATGGCAAACGCATCCCTCACCCTGGCGATCATCTTGTTCCAGTGCGTGAGGCGAGCGAGCCTGAGGAGTTTCACGAGCCGAGCAAGTCGAGCAAGTCGGTTCAGTCGAAGAGTTCTTATCATCGTCAGCCCGCACTGATCCGCCGAGATCGCATTCTCGATTAGGGTCACCGGAAGAGAGCCCATGACGTCGAGCCAGAACCAGAACTTGAGGTAGTTGAAAGAGATCACTTTCCAGTCCGTGACAAACTTGATACTTCCCAGGTCATCCGTCTTCGGATCAACGGTTGCGGTGCGGAAATTCAACAGGATGTCAACCCAGAAGGAGACGTTGACAAGCCAGTTGATGACAAAACTTGCGTCCTGCTGCTGTCCCCCGTTGCAAGTCATCCTGGAGAAGGCGATGGAGAAAGGGACCGTGAAGAGGGTGTAGAGCAAGAGAAGAATGATCCACATGTCCCAAATCAGCCGCGGCTGCGAGTAGGGGTGAAGTATGAACTTCACGTCGGGCAACCAGATCTGCTGCCGCTCGTCTGACTTCTTGCTGTTCGTCCATGTGCTATCTACGTGCACGAACGAGACTCTCTTGTCGTCGATCCTCGTTGGAGGGGAGGATGGTGAGGGCGAGATCTCTAGATCCCCCTGGGAACAATCATGTCAGCGCCCGACGACAGCAACTCGAGGCTGTGACCTCAGGGAAAACTTTGTTCGTCGGGTGCGACATGTGATTCAACCTTGTCCCTTCAGATCCATCTGCAGTTCGCAATAATCACCATCTGAAATGATGGAGAACACTGACTGCAGGGTTTGCTAAGATTTCTGTTCAGGTCAGAGAGAACTAGAGGAACTCATCTCACTTGAGCCTCGTCTGACCTCAACACCATCATAAATATATCTGACTATTTGCCGTTCCATGATGTGCAAAATCAACGCTCTCTGCCGCTCTGCCTCTCCCTCTCTTCCTCCCCACGACACTCTAAAGGCTCTGGGCCAGGAACAACAATGCACCAGGCTTTTAACAGGCAAAGAGAGGAGGCGCTGAGCTTAGGAGAGGACGGCATGAAGGTAATATGAAATCATTAGAAGGCTGGGCAATGTATGCATTCTTTCGCCCAGCAATATCCTAACTTTTTCGAAGCCAGCAGAAATCAGTTTACACCATCACCGGGAACAAACACCGCACCCTCATCCTGCATCACAACAAGAGCGACAGATCACTGACAATGATCAGACTGAACCAAATCACACTCCAGAAGCATTGTCTTTCTCTCTTTCTCGCTGCTAGCTCGTCCATACCACCTGCGCCCCCCCTGCCGACTTTTTCCGTTTCTCAACCCCTTCCCCAGCTCCACCATCATCGCCACGCACGTTCATCCTCTCTTAGCCTCTCCTACATCTCATCTCTCCTCGTGTTTCCCTTCCTCGTCATGATGATCTTTTTAGTTCCTCCTGCGGGCGCCGCATGTCAGCATGGCGGGCAGGGGGCGACTGTCCGTTTCTACCATTTCTATTTCCCGGAGAGGTTGAGTTAACTTGGGTGACCAGCAAAAAATATTTTCTAGTGTGGTACATTTGGTACAAATTGAAGATATACAGATATTTCATATGGTACTGTAATTGTATATATGCAAGTACAGCCGAAACATAATAGTACAAAATAGCGGTAGTAGCTTACATACTTGTTATGATATCACACTCAAAGTACTAAGCAAAAATTATTTCGTACAAACACTGTACGGTACAGTACGGTCCCGGGCAACCCACCCCCGGGCCTTATAACTTAGACGCCGGGCCGCCGGGTCACTGAGCCTGTCCGAGGGCCCCGGGCCAGCCCGGGCGCCGCCTCCGACACTGAGTCCCGGAGTCCTGGCAGGTCAACTGGCAAGTTGCAGCCCGGCCCGCCGCAGAGCCAGCCGCCAGTGAGTTGCCAGAGCCTGGCACAGGGAGCGGTACGGGGTCAGCGGGCGGGCTCGCCGCAAGACGGTACCGTACCGTACGGCGGTCACCGCCGGTCACGCCCGCGGCCGGATTGGATGACGGCGGTCACCGTACCGGGTGCCTCGGACTGCCGCCGCTGGCGGGGCTTACCGGGCCGTGCGCCCGTGAGCACCGCCGCCGCGGCCCGACCGCGCGACCCGGCCGCCGCGCCGTCAAGGCCCGGGTACGGTGACCAGTCCGGCGACCGGCGGCGTACCGTACCGTACTATCATATGCCGTGACCGGCGTACCGTGACGGTACCGTGCCGTAGTCACGGTGACCCCGGCGGCGCCGGCGCCGCCCGGCGGCCGCGGGCCGCCTCAGTCGCGCCGCGGGGTCGGCCCGCCTGTGGGCGCGGCCCGGCCGATCGCCGAGCCTGGCCCAGTTCTAGAGTCCCGGCGGCGGCCGCAAGGCCGCAACCAGCCGGAGGCTGGTTTGAACCGCACGGTTGAAGTGAGCGGCCTGGGGCCCCGCGGCGGCCGGCGGGGGCGCTCAGCAGTGCCCGGCCGGGCTGTGCCCGGCCCCCGGGGGTCGGAATGAGTCGCTGCTGAGTTTAGCAACCGCTTCCGCGGCAATGTCTTGCCACCGCTTGGCAAGGGCCACACTAATCAAGTCGACTTCGGATCCTTTTAAATGATACCACATCCATCAACATGCTCGAGGCTCTCAACTTCGGGTCACCGTGAGGCTGCTCATGTGGCAGTTGTGACGCGAGTACCCTGGCACCGGCGCGGCAAGCCTTGAAGTTCGATTCCCGACTCGAGGTCCTCCTACGACGAGTTCTCTTCTCAGTGCTCGACCGCTCACTGTGACCCCATCAAAGCATCCTCATCAAGCCTTCTCAGCGGGATAAGCAACTGGCAAATCCGTTGCAAGATCTGACATGTCCTGTTGACTTTCTTGCACTCGTTCTGCTGTCTGGAGCTGTCCTTGTATCGCAATCGAAGGTCCCCGATGTGTGGTAGGGATGCCTTCATCCCATTCCCCAGGATTGCAGCAGATCACACACACAATGATCGAGAAGGTCGTCTGGAAGATGACCAGAACGACATTCAAGGCAACGATTGCCCACAGACTTCCAACGTATCTGCCGCAGAAATCGGAATCTTGTTTCTGCCAGATCTGATAACGAGATGAGTCGTCAGTACACAGCACACGAGCAACAGCAGCAGCAGCACAAGATAGAGTAGCCTCACCACAGAAGCTAGACGCGACTGCTGCTCCCGTGAGCGGAATGGCCACTCCAATGAGGGACGTGATGATACCTACGATAAGGAACGCAAGCAGCACTCCTGTGGCAGTCTTGTTCCGTTTCTTGGCAGCAAATACTCCCAAAAGACAAAAGACTATGGGAACAGCCGCAGGGAGAGTACCCCACAAAGCAATGGACCTCAAGAAGGAGTTCACACTATCTCGAGTTGCTACACAGTTTGCGAAATCATAACCATAAGTGCTGGTACCAGAAGGTTGGGAGCACGTGTCAGGAATCTTGTATGTGGCTGCAACAATCCCAGCGACGAGAAGAGCGAGACCAAGAACGCCATTCACGACGCTCAGATGAAACACGGCAGGGAGAGATACCTTGCACATGGCGGAGAGGAGCGCTTGTTGCTGGGACCAGGAAGTTAACAGTTCTTTATAAGTCTTTTTGTTAAAATAGATATTTCATATGGTACTGCACTGTACTGAGTCATTTGTACTAGCATATCAAGTACAGCTCAGAAACATAATCGTACAAAACTATGATATCAGGCTCAGCCTCACTGTAGCCTACGTTAGCCTAGTAGCGTCCACACTACTAAAGACTCGGACTCTTTGTCGGATTGATCGGACACCGGCGGGGGCCCAAACCGTTCAGTGAAAGGCGTACCAGTACTGCTACTTAACTTTGAGTGAAAAAAAGGTGCTACTAGAGTAAAGTAGTGACCGCCTACGGTACTGTCGTGCGGCATTATTGAAACAATTGAAACTTGACTTGCCACACGGTAGCCCCGTACTGACAGTGTACTGCCCGCGGCCAGGCAGGGAGTAGCACGGTACGGTATGGTACCTGGTAGGGCCTGTAAACGGTAACCGTGTACTAGCGGCGGCGCTCAGCGGCTGCGGCGGCGCCCGGCCCGGCCAGCCTCCGAGTGCGCCGCCGCCCCGGGACGGTCGGACCGGCCATGAACGCCCGGCCCCCGGGGGCCCGGGGCCCGCCCCGGCCCCCGGCCCCCCCGGCCGCCCGGCGCCCGGGCCCCCGGCCCGGGCCCGGCTGCCCGGCCAGTAGCGGCGCGGCCGGTCCCACCTGAAGGCAACTAGCTACTAGCTACTAGGCTAGCCCAGCCTTCAGACAGACCGTCGGACCGTACTACGGTACCGTCACTGGGGCCGGACCGGGCCGAGTGACGCCGGTACGGTACCGTCAGCGAGGCGGCGCCCCGGCCCCCCGGGCCCACTGGCGGCGGCCAGCAGCCCTGCGGCACCGTGCCCGCTCGGAGTCCGATCGGCGGCGGACTCGGGATCGGACATTACCGGGTGGCACGGTCCGAGCCCGGCGTTAGCGGCAAATGATGGGCACTGCCAAGTTCCCAGGGCGGCACTGCCGGGCCGGGCTCCCCGGCGGAGTCCCGGACGGCGGCCGGGCGCGGTCCCGGCGGTCGTTGCCTAATTAGTAATGATGGCTGCACCCTACCCCTACAAGGGTTTGGAATGCTCAAAGGGCCGGGTAGTGAGCCTTTGAGACCCTACCCGGTGATTCTCCCAGTGATAAATAGAGGAAAGGGGGTGGTGGGCTGGCGGCGGCATGCAAGCGAGCAAGGGAGAGGAGCGCAATGCGCCGGTAGGAGGAGGGCAGAGATGGTACAACGCAGAGATAGGAGGTTCAGAGAGTGAGGATTCGCAGCTCTCTGCAGGAGGAGCGGAAAGAAGAGGAGGGAAAGGAGGGTCTCAGAGAGGTTCTGAAGGGAGCAGGTGTGGGCTACTGATAGCCGGATCCTCAGATGAGATGAAATACTTGCGATTGAAGTCTGAATAGAACACTTGGGAATGAATAAGTGGTCTGTCTGAAGGTGGAAACAAGACTACCAGGTAGCAGTGAGTATGTAGGGAGGGATTTGGCAGAGTGAAATCCTTTCAAGTCTTGTCGGATATGAACGGCAGTGTAAGATGCTGTAGGATGGTTGAGATTAGCAGCGCTGAGTCGGCTGAGGAACCCATTCTTTGCTTCGCCCTTGTACTCAGCTTCTCTTCCGAAGGACCTTAGTGATACAGAGTAGAAGAGAGCTGGGATGCAGGGGGTGCACGTTGATGCAGGGTTGAGAGGGAGGGTGTTAGTATGAGCGACTCAGCACCATGAGAGGTCAGCATGCTCAGAGTGAAGCTACCTTGCCGCTTCATGACATCTGGGCAAAGTATTTGGCAGCCCATTCGGCGCCGCTGCCGCTGTTGCCTCGCAGTGTGGGAGGACCTTGACTGAGTCCGCAGGTGTGTCGACGATGTACGGGCGAGTGGGGCGAAGCTCTCTCCTCAGCACCCAGTGCTTCCTGGGCCTCCTCGTCTCTCTTCCCCTCGTGCTCGCGTCGAACGTCCATGACGTGCCGACTTTGGAGGCGTACCGCATGTTCGAGTATGACGACAAGGGCCAGCAGCTTGGATCGAGGAAGAGCGCAGTGAACATGCTGGCAGTACCAGCGTCCTCCTCCTCCGAGTTCGGCAGGAGGGTTGTGGTTGCTGACCTGCAGGATCTCTCGGCCGTGTACGTGGAGAAGCTCTTCGTAGAGCGATCAGCTGGAGGGCTGCTGGCCATCTTGCCGAAGGACATAGACATTGAAAATCCTGAGCAACGCAGCAAGTGGCTCGAGGTAGAGACTGCTCTTGCTAAGATGAGGGTGAACGCTCCTGTCTACTTCGCCTTCGAGAGCAATCAGACGCAAAACCTCAAGCGCATGCTCGAGGCAAACCCAGGAGAGGTCCAGCTCTCCGCCACTGGGCTCGTCTCGCCGACCAAGGCGAGCAACGTGCAGGGGGCCAACTTCCAGGGATGGCTGCCGGGTCGAGGAGGAGGAGAAGAGTCGAGCAGCTCTCGCCCGATCATCGCCATCGTCGCTCACTACGACACGCTGGGGGTGGCGCCGGAGCTGGCGGTTGGCCTTGATTCCAACGGGAGCGGGATGATCGCCCTGCTGCAACTCGCAAAACTCTTCTCCAAGTTGTACTCGTCAAAGAGGCAGCAGGGGATGTACGACATCGTCTTCGTGCTGACCGGAGCCGGCAAGTCGGAGTTCACCGGCACCAAGTACTGGCTGGAGCACACAGACTCGCGATTGCTGGACAGGATCGAGTTTGTGCTGTGCCTGGACTCCATCGGGTATGGCGACAAAGTTTACATCCATACCTCGAAGCAGAAGTCCAAGGACTCGGTACCTGCTGTCGCGAAGCTCTGGGACGTGCTCAAGTCGACGGCAGAGGATATGAACATCCCCCTAGAGATCGTAAGGAAGAAAGTCAACCTGTCTGACTTCTCTTGGGAGCACGAGCAGTTCTCGAGGAAGGACATCCTTGCAGTGACCGTCTCCCGTCACTCAACGCACAGGTGATGCTGCTGGGAGATGAAGATGATCATCGAGCCTCTGCAATGATCTTGAATTGTCTCTCCCTCACTCTGTCCTGCAGAGCCGACATCCGCTCCTCCATCCTGGATAGGAAACTGGACGTGCAAGCTCTGAAGAAGAATATTCTTTTCGTGGGGAATGTGATGGCCAAGGTAAGTCTCTATATCCCCAGTGTCCAGGTCTCGCTATCACACTGCCTTTCCGTCCCCTGGATATATATCCTCGCCTGGACCTCTCCTTTGCTCATCCTCCCTCCCTCCCCCTTCCCTTCAATGTCCAGGTTTTCCTCCTTCTCATCCCCTTGTTCATTGCAGGTCGTTTACGATCTTAAGAAGCCTCTCGACGTCTTCGAGGGCTCTCTCAGCTTGAACTCAGCCTTCCTCGAGGCCTGGGCGCAGGAGGTAAATTCCTCTTCCTCCCCGTACCACAATTCGCTGCTCTCACCATCTCCTCTCCCTGCCTTGCTCGCTCCCTCACTCGCTCCTTCCTCCTGTCCTCCTACCTTGCACCTCCGTTCCCTCCTTCCTGGCATCTCCTCAGCCTCCGTAGCTCGCAGGCACCCCCCGCATGATGCAGTACCTCGGCCCGGATGCCATCAAGACGATCGAGAAGGCTGGGCAGCTACTCAAGGAGTACACGGCAGAGGTGAGAAATGTGCGCGAGGAGGACGAGCGATGATGCGCCGCACGGCAGATGACCCGCCAGATGTTTTCTCTTGGGCAGGAGAAGGTGATGTGAACGAGAGGGGGGGGAGGGGGGAGAAGGAGCCGGAGCAGATGCAAGTGAAGTGATGGAGGAGAGGGACGAGGGAGAGGGAGCAAGGAGAGGGAGAGGGGGAATGCTTAGCTGCTGCTATCAGGTCTTTTACATCGGAACGTCAAAAGCGCAGATCTCAGTCTACTCGGTACGTTGAGATATGCATCAAACCTCTCCTCCCC